CCTACCCATTGGCCTGCGATTTTCCTGCATTCAGTGTCATTGCATGTGTTTTGTGAGTCTGAATAGGGCCTCATAGATTGGTATCAAACATATATCAGACTTATGGAGTTGGGCTGAGATGTTTTCTCAATATTCAATTGCTTTTGTATCTAAAGCTCTTTCTTATACACATGAGTGTCTATGAATTTGTTTCTCTAGACTACCTGGACTAACACAGTGAGTATGCATTGGGCGGCTAACCTCTAGGTCAGCAGCTAGAAACCACGAACCTCATCACAGGAGAAAGAAAAGGCTTTTTACCGCTGTAAAAATTTACAATCTCAGAAACCCACAGGGGCAGTTCTACCCTATTCAACAGGGTGATTTGTGATTTGGAATCTACTTAATGACAATGGGTTTGGTTTGAGTTAGGCAGTCAAGGACTTAGCCATAAATCAAAAGCTTGGAACATCAACTGTACCCGGAGATGCCTAGAAAGAAAGGCCTGAAGAGCTACTTCTGCCCGGTGTGCAGAGACATGCATGCAGCATACCCGCATGAAGCAGGGAACCACTGACTTCACTGGGCCTTATTCTCTGAGTCATATTGGTAAATCAAGACTTGTCTCCAGTTACAATTTGTTCCATAAAGTCTTCATTAGCTTTCTTCTTACTGAAAAGATACCTTTAGCTAGCTGATTTTCACACAACTCTGTGGAGCCCAGAGCTTCCTGAGGCCAAATAGTTTGCTTAAACTTGAAAATACCAAATCATGTGAGATTCTTAACGGCAATAGCTATCCCACCAATAGTGATTCTACAGCCTTTTCCTACTAGTTTCTGGACTCCAGCCACAGCTTCGTTATTTGTCAAGGGTGATGGACTTCCCTCTCTTGAATCATCTTTAAGGTCTTTCCTGTCCTCCTTACAATGCTTGATCCACCTAAAATCCGTTGTTTTTATGTAAATCACCATTTCTGTTTGTTGCAGAGCTTCAATGATTTGATAGGATATCCTCTTGAGTCTTGCTAAAAATTTGATACTAGACCAAACCTCAAAATAGTTTTCCCTCAAAAGGAAAAAATAAAAGTGTCCTTGTTTCTTCAGCCATCCACTGCTTCCAGTGGCATGTTCAAACATGTCTTGTTTGTAATAAACCGATGCATATATGAACTGGAACTGCAGTAGCAATACTTTGTGGCTTGGCTTATCCTCATATGTTATAAGGATTTTCCACTTTTACATTACATAATTTAAGATCATATTTTACAGTCATCTTTAATCCCAACATCACCATGAGTAATCATCTAATAGAAGTTCTTCAGCACATAATTTATTTCCAAAATTTGGGAAACAGCTCCTTTTGAAAACTTGAAAGAAGTGCTGAATGGGACTCCAGGCCCATGTTGCAATTGATACAAAATCAACTACTCTCTACTCTACTAGATACTATTGGTGTGCTACTGGGGTGCTGCCATTCCCTAGCCCCTGCGTCAATGGCTAAGAGTACAAAACACTCCCTTCTAGAGGCAAGCACTCCTGGTACCCATAGTGAGGGAGTGGTAACCCACAATCACCAACTGACTAATGTGAAGGTAAAAAAGGTCACTCCCTTACTTCAAGGCCTGACAAACATTGTGGGGGTACTCTATGTTTTGTATTTCCAAAGAAGCCAAGCTGCAGCTAGTCTCCTGTTGAGACCCTATTGTTGTTTAATCATGTCCTCTGTTCCACCCCTGCTCTATTGGCAGAGGTAAATGACCCTAATCATCATAAATGAATACCCCATTGTTCCCATGGCAGGCTGGGCCACAGGAGTCAGAATTAACTCTGAGGGCAGGTTGTTGGGGCCCATGGTTTAACTGATACGGTGCAAATGCAGCAACTGTGGCCTGATAAGAATGGTGGTGCTCTTTAGGCCTTAGGGCCTTGTTCACTCAGTATCTAAACCATTTAAGAGAAAGAGGGACCAAGAATAGGTGATGGAAAAGGGACTCTAGGAACACCAGTTATGACCTTAGGTCCAGCTACAAAAGCAGGTATTGACAGAGGAGTGTGAAAGAGTCCGCTTACGCTAATCAAAAGACTAGAAGATAGCACAATTTAAGATCGAATCTGTTGGACATCCACTATAAAAGCCCCTCCCCTTGCAGTAAAAATTCCTTTTAAACTTTATCAGTAGGGATGCTCTCACTCAGGAAGGTGGTAAGCCAGACCATTAAGCTAAGTAGTCAGGCACTACTTAGATAAACAATGGAGCATGAGACTTCAGGGGTCAGTGGTCTCTAACCCCTGAAGAAATGTAGAGTAGATAATTTGTTTCCTGTGATCATTGCAAAACCTACTTTGTGTCAGATAGTTTGGGGTATATAACTGGCTTGATTTTCATTGGATATTTTAAGACGTTTGGAGGTAGCAAGCCCCAGTTTCCCTGTTTCCAGCTTGCAGAAAAAATACAGAGTTTCTCAAATCGATCTAGTGTCTGTCTTTGACTGCAACAGTGACAGCCCATCTTAGACCTGAGTTCATAACAATAGAATCATAATTTGCCCCACTAACTTTCTTTTTGCAACTTTTCCAAGAAATCATAAACAATCCGAATTCTGGGGGCTCTACACCTGGATGGAGGGATAATTCCAGCTGATGCTGTAGGTGTCCCCTGCCTAGATCTTCTTTACTAAGCAGGTCTACTGTTCCCCCTAGCTACTGCTAGTGCCGCTTTCTACGGGCTCAGGTTTCCCATTCTCTCTGTAGAAAAGCCCTAGGCTGAACAGGAATTGCTTCATTCAGATTTTCCCTCTTTCTAGAAGCAATGGCTATTGAATGTGCAAATGCACAAAATTGGCACCCTCCCCTCACCATAGGACCACCATTGTGGTATAATCCATTGAGCTCTTCTAGGATCTACCTACAGATAGACTGCAGCTACGTCATATCCTTCCTTACATCTAAGACGTTTTTTCCATGTTGCTTTGAGTTCCCAGAGGCTAGGTGTTAGGCTGCTAACTGCAAGGACACTGGTTTCAAACCACTGGCCACAACACAGTAGAAAAATGGGGATGCTGCTCCTGTCAAGATTGAGTCTCAGACCCTATGTAGGGGAACTATGAGTCAGTATCAACTTACTGGCACGGTAGTAAGTTTTTAGTTTTTAGTTTTGTTTATCCTAATATTACACACCCAATAAATCAAATGCACTTTAATCCTGGCCTTGTGCTGTTTCTGGCAGAGCTTCAAAACAATTCATTCTAGTTCCACCCATGCTGAGAATTTGAATTTCCACCCCAGATACGCTGAACCACAGAATGTGCCTCTTAAGAAAATCCCAGGGGATCTGTGAGGCTCTCTGAGGATCTGGTTAAAAATGTAGATTCTGATTTAGTATACATGAAGAGGTAGTGATGGAGAAGAGAATGCCTATTCTCAGCAGGGAACAGAACAGGAATAAGGGGAGTGTGAAGCCTTGCTTTCGGGAGCACTTACTGTTTTAAAGTGATCTCTAAGTTCTTCCAGTTCTTCTACAGGCCTTGTAACTACACAGGAACTTTCTCACCATCCACGTTACACTGATTGACGTTGTTTCAAGTACCTTTTCTAAAGTACTGTTCGAAACAGGAACTTGAGAGAACATCCCAAGAGAAACACTCTTTGCTGAGAGAAATCCTGAGCTTTGGGGCAAACTTGGGCAATTTGATGAACAAACAAAAGTAGTATGTTCCCTCTTCAGCTAGTGAATGGTAGATTGGTCACAATATCCTTAGTGAACTTTGCACCACCGTCTGCTGACAGGTATGCACTCGAGGTTGGGATAAAGAGCTCTGAGGCTGCCACCGAGTGTATCCTGTTGTTATTGTCAGAGGGGAGTCATTCACACTGGGAAGGGCATTGTTACCCATTGATAGAGCCAAGGCACTGCCATCAGGTCCTAGTAACCCTATAGGACAAGGTAGAACTGCCCCTGTGAGTTTCTAAGACTCTGTTAACGGGCGTCAGAAGCCCTGTCTTTCTACCTTGGAGGGACTGGTGGTTTTGAACGGCTGACTTTATGGTTAGCAACCCTGTGCATAACCGCTACACCATCAGGGCTCCTCCCTGTTAGACAGAACTGCGCAAAGGGGAAAGAATCCTAACCCAAAAGACAGGTGGAGGCATATTTCCCCATGCCTACCCTGTACAAAGGAAAGTGAAATGCACATAAGACATTTTCTTATTAATGGGAGAGACAGAGTTAGTAAATGGTTTTAGGCAGGGAAAGACAGGATGCTCACATTACCCTCACAATGGTTGATTGACCTTGGTTTCTGAGCCTGGCAACAAAGATACAGCATGAAATTGAGTGGGCAGGGGAGCACATACCTGGAATCGGAAGGGATGCTACAGATAACCAGCCAATAGCAGAAGGCCTGCCACTGATGGCATTAAAAACCTGAGTCTTCATGCCACAGGGTCCAAGATTTTCTGGAACCCATTGGTGTTTCGCCCTAAAGTACCACCTTAATAAACTCACTCATTTCATTCAAAACTGTCTTCTGACTGGGGTCTGAATACTGTCTCTCATCTGAATTCTTTCTTGTGAGTGTGATAAGAAGCGAGAGAGGAGAGTTTTGAAACCTTGAGCTGTTTCCCAGTAAGTCTTTCCTCAAATCAAAATAGTAATAATAACAATAATGTTAAGTTTTAGGGACTTTCTAACTCTTTATAAAAAACAAACACACACACACACACACACACACACACACACACACACACACACACACATTCAAACCAGTCAGGTAGTCTCTAAGGATGCATGAGCAGAGTAACCTACACAGAAAATCAGAAGAAAACTTGTTTTTCACCACTAAGAAGCAGGAAGTCAGTGGAGAATCAGACCATCCTCTGAGGTATACAGGGACACCAATGAAAAGCTAACTTCATTTAAACTTATGATCCTTTTCTTGTTCTACAACCACTTAGAAAATGTGGAACACTTGAGAACCGCAGACCCCAGATAGTCTCTAATACACTCTGAATTTAATATTACCTGAATTGTTACTGTTTGTCTTCCCATGAGGGATTCTATAAAGGCCAAGTATATAACCATCTTCAGTTACAACATCATACACTTCATCGGGGTAACCCCAGTAGGAAATAATTTGGCTCTGTATAAATGAAAAACAGGACTTTTAATAGAAGATTCTCAGTTAATTAAGTTAAATGGTTTGTTATTTTCACATTCATTGTGTAATAATATTAGCATTCTCCTTCGACTTCGGGCCTATGTGAATTAGGTAGGGGTTTACATTTCAGATAATCATTTTTTATGTTAAATAATTTAAACAGCTTATCAAACTTCCCAATAGCTTACTCTGTTCCCAATATGTACATTATTCAAATATCTGAGTCACCATAACTTTGTATGTATGTGTATTTGTTATACATACATACATACATACATACATACATACATACATATATACATATAAAAGGGTGAATCAGGAACTATTCCTACTAATGCCATCAATTCCTACCCATACATGCATGGGTTTATCCCAAATAAAACGTTTTTGAACATATCTCTGTGATCAATACATGGCTGCAGACAAATATTCTCAAAAATACACTTGTCTTAAGGTGCCTTCAAAGTAAAGGTCCCATCAAAACTGCCTTCTGAGAGGTTCTGCTGGGCCCATTAAATTTAAGGTGCACACACAATGGAGACTCAAAATTTTTTTGGAAAAATATCCACTATTTTTCATTTTCATGAACTTTTTGAAGCCACTTCATATATTCAATAAGGACCAAAACAGTTACAATCTCAGAAACCCACTAGGGCAGTTCTCCCCTAATCTACTGGGTTTCTCTGAGTCAGAACTGATTCAATGGCTGTTGAGTTTGTAAAAGACCAAATCGATCACCATGAACAGGTTCACATTTGGGATCTATGTATGAAAGGAAGTTTATATTATTAAAAATCACAGCAAAAATTGTATTCATGTTTTAATATATATGTATATATAAGATTCAATCTATAAATTAACATGATCTAAAAGAATCACTTAGAATCTTGTTAAAATCTAGATTCTGATTCAACATACTTGGGGATTTATCAGCGAGGGCTCAAACTTGATTGAACTGGTTCAAAACCTTGATGTGTACACATAGAATTTCTGTCTATCATGAAGTATCTATGTATTTATATATATTTTTCATTACAGAGTTAAGATGAAGCTAACAGGGAAATTAAATATATAGAATATTAGATAAAGGTTATTATCTGACCAATATAAAAATATGTGTTTGCAGATATGTAAGTTTAAGTGTAGCTCTGTTCATGAAAAACAAAAAACTCCAGGATTTAAAGAGTATCAATTTTTGCTATTTCAGCAATTATTTTTTAAAACTTACAATATTCATATTTGATTCAGGGTTTACAGATTTTTGACAGAGACCATGAGTAGTTCCAAGAAGAAGGACCACATATATCGCTGTAAAAATGTACTACATTTTTTAGGCTCTATGAACAAAAAGAAGTTTATAGTATTAAAATTTATAACAAGCAATACCATTTTACTCTCAAATTAGATAACTATAGACATAGGAGGTTGGAATTTGAAAGCTTGTTCTCTGATGGCATAGTGGGTTACTCTGCCTTTTATCCTCAAGATCTGTAGTTCAAAACCACTAGCTGCTCCATGGAGAAGAATGAGGCTTTCTGCTCTTGTTAAGATTTATAGTGCCAGAAATGTAAAGAGGCAGTTCTCCTCTGTCTTATAGGATTTGTCTTAGTCAGAATTGCTTAGACATTTTGCTGTTTGCTTTTTAATGGGGGTTGGGAACATTTATTAATACATGCTTACATTTATTAATAAGTGCTTAAAAGCATGTATTTCAAGAGTATTTCAAGCAGGTGGGGATAGGGTGAGTCAGAAGCTTGGATTACTTTCATTAGCTTAGCCTCTGAATGTCTTGATCTCGTTTTCATTATAGTAATGTGATTTTTGGGTCTCCTAAACTTTATGACGGCAAAACTGTAACACTAAGGTTCTTTCTAAAAACCCAAAATACGCACTGCCATCGAGTTGATGCCAAGTCATTGTGACCCTGTAGGACAGGGTAGAACTGCCCCTGTGGGTTTTCAAGACTGTAACACTTTGTAGAAAAGTAAACAATGAAGAGATCCCAGAGAAGATGGAAACTTCTTTATATATCCTCTGAACAAAGACTATTAAAAATACCATGGATTGCTGAAAAAACAAACAAATCTTTCTTGGAAGAAGTACAGCTAAAATGCTCCTTAGAAGTAATGATGACGAAATGTTGCATCACCCACTTTGGACATGTTGTGCAGAGAGACCAGGCCCTGGGGAAGTACATCAGGGTGGGTAAAGTAGAGGGACATTGATAAAGAGGAAGGCCCGCTAGGAGATAGATCGACACAGTGGTTGCAACAATGAGCGTAAATGTAACAGCAATGGTGAGGTAGCAGAGGACCAGGCAGTGTTTCCTTCTGTGATAAATAGGGTCACCGTGAGTTGGAGCCAGCTAGATGTCACCTAACAGCCGCAATCCTTGTATCATAAGTTAGACACTATATGCGGCAGGTGGCACAAACTCCCAGCTCCACTAGAAGTGGAGCTTTTGAACGAAGGCAGGTTCCTTAGCCTGTCTAAGCAGCAAGGTCCCTACTTATAGCAGTACATAAGGATTTTTTTTTAAACTTCAAAATCACTGCCATTGAGTCCATTTTGCCTCACAGTGTCCCTATAGGACAGGGTAGAACTGCCCCTGTGAGTTTCTGAGGCTGTAACTCTTTACGTGAGCAGAAAGCTTTGTCTTTGTCCTGCAGAGCAGTTGGTAGTTTTGAACTGTTGACCTTGCAGTCAGCAACCCAACATATAACCACTACACCAATTTAAATGAACTATTAAGCTTAAGTGTAAGTTATATGAAAACATGAGCAATCCATCATTGAAAATTATTTTTACTGAAACCCAAATGAAGGCTGAGCATAATAGTGGGACAAGAGGAAAGTAAAAGAAAGAGAGGAAGGAACTAGGAGGCAAAGGGCACTTACAGAGGGCATTTATAGAGGTCTAAATACAGGCATGTACATATGTAAATATATTTATATGGGATAATGGGGAAATAGATCTATGTGGCAGAAGGACATTGGGCCTCCACTGAAGTACTCCATCAATGCAAGAACACTTTGCTTTATTAACCTGGCATTCCATTATGCTCACCTTCCTGACACGATCGCTGAAGACAAAGCGGGTGCATAAGCAAATGTGGTGAAGAAAGCTAATGTTGTCCGGCTATCAAAAGATATAGCGTCTGGGGTCTTAAAGGTTTGAAGATAAACAAGTGGCCATGAAGCAACAAAGCCCACATGGAAGACGCACACCAATCTGTGTGATCATGAGGTGTCGATGGGATCAGGTATCAGGCATCAAAGAACAAAAATTATATCATTATGAATGAGAGGGAGTGTGGGGTGGAGACCCAAAGCCCATCTGTAGGCAACTGGACATGCCCTTACAGAGGGGTTGCAGGGGAGGAGACGAGCAAGTCAGGGTGCAGTATAACACTGATGAAATATATAGCTCTCCTCTAGTTCTTTAATGCTTCCTCCTGGCCACGCCCCGCCCCACTATCATGATCCCAATTCTACCTTTCAAATCCGGCTAGACCAGAGCATGTGCACTGGTACAGAAAAGAATGGAAAACACAGGGAATCCAGGACAGATAAACCCCTCAGGACCAATAATGAGAGTGGCAATACCAGGAGGGTAAGGGGAAGCTGGGGTAGAAGGGGGGAACCTATCATAAGGATCTACATATAACTCCCTCCCTGGGGGACAGACAGGGGGGGGTGACATCAGACAGTGTAAGGTATGACAAAATAATAATAATTTATAAATTATCAAGGGTTCATGAGGGGGCGGGCAGGGAGGGAGGGGGAAAATGAGGAGCTGATACCAAGGGCTCAAGCAGAGAGAAAATGTTTTGAGAATGATGATGGCAACACATGTATAAATGTGCTTGACACAATGGATGGATGTATGGATTGTGATAAGAGTAGTATGAGGCCCTGATGAAATGATTATAAATAAATAAATAACCCTTTAAAAATATAATGTACATATCATACAATTCAATAGTTATATTAAAAAGAATTGTGCTATCATTACTACAATTACAAAAATTTTTAAATACATTTCATTTGATAATTTTATTGGGCTTTCCTTTCATTTAGCTTAAATTGAAAAAAAAACCAGATATCCAATTTGGAAGAATTTGTAACTGCCCATTGTTCACTTTACAAATACGAACTCCAATACTTGAAATAGTCCTTTGTCAAATCAGAAGTTTTTACTTCTTAAAATACGTAATTCCCGATGTAGTATTAGAGATATGTCTCCGTTTGTATAGTTGAAAGGCCCTTGTGAAAGAGAAGACACTAAGAAAAAAGACGTCAATAGAACCTAATCGCTGAGGATCTGGGTCTGGCTTCATTAAAACTGTTTAAGCCTGTGTACCCTTTAGAAAGTCATCCTCTCCTAGCATGTATCTCAGCTTGAAGGTCACTGTTCTCTCCAATACTTTTATAACAGTATTTTATAACTTTTATAACAGTCATCATGAAGTGCTCATGCTTCTGGCTTGACCACATCCCAAACACAAAGCTAATTTCTGAGGAAACTCATTTTACTTTTAGATGAATGTACTTACAATTTTTTCCTTGAACAGATTCTTTAACTTAAGCAAAACTCAACTGTTCATAGTTTTCTGCTTTTGGCGGGACAGTCCTGATTTTTAACAATTTGCCCCGCGTCCCGTGGTGCTTTTAAAAAGTCCCGATTTTTGGAAAGAATGCACTACAAGCTAGGGTATGCGGTTTTCGGCTGCCATGTGGCTATTTCACCAGGATATGAGTTTTATCAATGGTGTCCCGCTTTACCAATGTTAAAATCTGGTCCCCTTAGTGTAAAAGTGGCCAATTCTTTTTCTCCCTTAAGGTTTTTCACCTTTTTACCCGAAAGTCTTTTTCCCTTCCTGGTCACCTTTCTTTAGAATTGCACTGAATTGTGAATAGTCTTCTTTAATTGCAGAATCTATCAATGAGCATAGTATTCCAGGTGTGGTATGACCAATCTAAATAATGTGAAACTAACACATTTCTGGTTCTGAACATGTTATATATCATAATTTAGGTTCATATTTACTTTTTCCTTGGCAGCTCTATTACACTGTTAACTCATCATGAGCTTAGAATCTACTGAAATTCTATGAAATCCCTGATTCTGTAAAATTATTTCTAGGCACAAAAAATATTCCTGTTGAATTTTTGTGAATATTTACTTGCTATTTATCATTCAATATGAGGTCATCCATATTGGTTTTATGTTAGGTGTGCCATAAATTCTTATTCAGCATGTGAATAGCAAATAAATTAGTATAGGCAGAACTGTGCAGAATACTACTAGATATGTTTGTTGACTGTTATTTTGCATTCTTATAATCATGTTACACTATAAAATAGCACTTTCTGGATGTGTAATAATGAAATCTTCCAACTAAATTACCACCTAAATATTCTATTTGCATAAATATTTCCCTCAAAGGTTTCTTAGGGAAACAGTCTGTGGTATTTAGTAGTTTCTGATAATCTTAATATTGAACAGTATAATATAGTATGCCAGTTATCCTGTATAGAATATAATAGTTCTGCCTTCTTCATGCTTATATTGTAGTGGGAGAAAGACATCAAATACACAATAAGTAAACTAGAAAAAAAACAAATAACTTCTAAAACTGGTAAGTGAACCGAAGACAATAAAACAGGCTAATAGGACAGACCACAATGTATCTGTCATTTCGTTGTGCTGTTTTGGCTTACATATTATTTTGGTGCTGAAGGTTTTGTCTTGGGTATTGTAAATATCAGGAGGATCACCTCTGGTGGAAGAGGCTCAGCTGAGTTTATAGACTAATATCGACTATGGAGGAGGACCTGGGAATCTACTTCCAAAACTGTTGGCCAGCGAAGACCTTATGACTACCACTGGTACACTTTGTGGCATAAGTGTTGCAAGACGAACCTCTTAGGCTGCAAAGACACTCAAAATAAAACTGTGAGACAGCTGCTCCTTATAGTAGAGTTGACTTTACTCAGATGGGCGGAATAAAGCACTCAGACTTCATTTGCTGATGTAGCATGAATCAAAATGACAAGAAACAGCTGTTAACCTCCATTAATAATACAAAATTGGAATGTACAAAGTATGAGTCTAGAAAAAAGTGAAAGTTGTCAAGAATAGAGTATTCTGGAGAAAGATACTCTAAGTATTAGTAGCTGAATTGACTGGTATTGGTAATTTGATTGGGACAGTATAGTATGGCCTACTATACTGGGAACAACAAATTAAAAAGGAATGATGTCACATTCATTGTCAAAAGAATATGGAATACAGTGCTGTCATTGAGAGAATAACGCTCACAAACTTATAAGGAAGGCTAGTTTAAATGACTATTATTCAAATTTATACCCCAACTACTAATGCCAAAGAGGAAGAAATTGAAGATTGTTACCAGTTTCCTCTGTATGAAATTGATCAAAGATGCAATCAAAATGCATTGTAAAATTTTGCTGAGGATCATGCAACAACAGTTGTTGCATTACGTTGACAGCGAGTTGCCAGAGGTTCAGGCCAGATTCCAAAGAGGATATGAAATATCATTGCTGATGTCAGATGGATCTTGGCTCAAAACAGAGAACACCAAAACGATGTTTACTTGTGTTTTATTGCCTATGCCAAAGCATTCGACTGTGTGGGCCATAACTAACTAGGGATAATCTTGAGAAGTATGGATAACACTTCCTCTTACTCCTATGGAACTTGTACACAGATCAAGAAGCAGTTGTGTAAGCAGAACAAAGAAATACTGCATGGTTTAAAACTAGGAAAGGTGCGTGATAGGGTTGTAGCCTCTCACCATACTTACTGAATCTGCATGCTGAGCAAATCGTCCAAGAAGCTAGATGGTATGAAGAAGAATGCAACATCAAGACTGGAGGAAAGCTTATTAGCAACCTGAGATATGCAGATGACACAGCTTTGCTTTCTGAAAGTAAGGCGAACTGGAAGCGCTTGCTTATGAAGATTCAGGATCAAAGCCTTCACTATGGCTTACAACTCAATGTAACAGAAGAAGTCCAAATCATCACAATGGAACTGATAGATCACATCATGAAAAAACGGAGACAAGATTGAAATTAGCAAGGATTTTGTCTTGTTTGCATCCACAATCAAAGCTCCTGGAAGCAGCAGTCAAGAGATCAAAGGAAGCATTACATTGGATAAATTTGTTACACAAAGCCACTTCAGAGTATTGAAAAGCAAGCAGGTTAGTTTGAGGAAGACAAAAGGGCCCCTGGCTCAAGTCATGGGATTTTCAGTTACTTCAGATGCCTGTGAAAGTTGGCTATCGAATAAGGAAGATGGAAGAAGATACCAAACACCAAACCAAACTCAGAGCCATGGAGATGGTTTTGACTCATGGCTACCCTAAAGGACAAAGCAGAACGGACCCTTCGGGTTTATGAGGCTGTAAATCTTTGGGGAGCAGAAAGCCTCAGTTGTATCCTGCAGTGCAGGTGGTAGAATCTCAGGTTGGAAAGGTGGATGGTGGAACCGCTGACATAGCATAACCCACGACATCACCAGGCTAGACATAAGTAGAATCAGTTTTGAAGAGATGACTGAGCTACAATTTACTGCTGAATGAAATATCTTTGTCACAATTTTGCATATTGTTCCAATTTCACATATTTAAAGAACTGAGGTTCAAGAGGGTTAAAAGACTTATGCAAAGTTCTAGAACTAGATGTTAGGAAGCATCTCTCCCCATTCCAAAATCTCTATTTTACATATGAATAGTGCCCATTAAGGCCTAGAGGAAAGTTTGTTTCAGACTCACTGGTATGTCCTTCAGCACTTTAAAACCTAGAGTATTAAGAAAGCAGAGGTCTGGACAAGCATTGACCCATCTCCTAGTAGGCGGATTTTGCATTATGGTCAATATCACTCTGTGGCAAGGCAAGTTCTCACAGGATTTCCAGGCTCTCATTGATTGGCCGCAGGCCCATGAGAGTTTGCTGTGGAAACCAGCCATTGACCCCGTTCAGCTTCTTCACAGCCCCTGAGATCACTTTCACTTATTCATTTTTCAACGATTTTATTGGTGCATAATTCGCCTATCATGCAACTCAATTGTTCAATCACATCACGAAGAGTTGTGCAATAAACAGCATGGTTTTGGAACATTTTCCTCATTCTTGTACTCCGTGTTATTAGTTACCCATTTCCCCCCAACCTCCCTTGCCATAACTCCAGTTACTGTCCCTCTAGATGTACCTATCCTTCATATACAGAAAAACATTTAAAAAACAAAGAAACACTAAAAACCAACCAACCAACCTTCCAATCAAGTTAAAACCTCAATCGAAAAGAAAGCAAAACAAAACAAGACAAAAACACCTACAACAAATTTAAATGGATCATAAGGGACATCAAATGATAAAGTGCTACATTTTAACCTAACTGCCTCTGCAAACAATCCACTTTCTAATGCATTCTGCATGATCCCCAGGCTGTTCACATCCCTGGTCCGTGGTCAGAGAGGATCCACCAGGGGCTTCATCCACATATATTTCCCCTTCTCTTAAAATACAAAATGGAAGCCGCTTTAAAATGGGTCGAAAGGGAGATCAAATGATAAGACAGCACATCTTGACTTGACTTCCATCATCGCCTTTACAACACCGGCTGTCTGGTAGCAGGGCTGGGCGCATCCCTGTCTTCAGGCAGACGGTGGCTCCGGGCGGGTCCCCACTCTGCCCTCTGCAGGTCGGCGCCGGGACTGCCCAGGTGCCGGCCCGCGCCGGCTGGGAGAAGCGCGGTTGCTGGGCTTGCGCGCTGGCAGTTCCCGACGCGGCCATGGCGCGGGTGCTGGTCGTGGGCGCCGGGCTGACCGGAAGCGTGTGCGCCGCTCTCCTGAAGCGGGAGGCGACCCGGCCTTTGCAGCTCTCCGTGTGGGACCAGGCTGAGGACTCAGGTGGGTCGTCTCGGGGCCCCAGCAGGGGTCAGCGAGGCCCGCACGCAGCAGAGAAAAGGAAGTGTGAGTCAAGGAGGCCCGAATTCACGGGAGAAAATGAAAGGAACCGCCTGCACCTTCGAACAGGCGCGGTGCCACCTCCTCACGTGACCGGAGGCATTCCTGGCCTGGGCTCTACCCTCCAATCCAGCTCGCACTTTCTAGAATGATCCTGAGCGCCGTGGTCAGTTTGCCAAGCCTGGTTGAGCTTGCCACCTTCCGTAAGAAATGGGCATTCATCTTAACCCTGCGTGTCTGCACTTCTCTCCAGATTGGAAAGGTCCCCCCTGGATCCAAACTTCCAAAGAACTGGTTCCAAGAAGCCAATGCAGGCTCCCCCGCTGTCTGACTAACTGACTGCCACCAGTGTTCTATGAAACCTTTCACAAGCAGAAGTCCAGTAAAGCTAAGAAGAAAATTACCATAACTTTCTATGGAAACCTTTTAGCATCCCCAGGCCCCAGAATTCACCTACCAAACCATATCAAGTAACACATACACCCTACAAAAACACACATTTCAAAGTGGTGGTGGCTTGGTATAATTCTCAGCCGAGGAGCTTGGTGTTGGCCCGTTCCCTGCTCTGGGGGTGAGGCTGCCACTGTCATTGAGCCTTCTGACTCAGTGACCCTGTAGGCTCCTTGCCTCCTTAATGGCTTGCTGTAAAGCAAACAGCTGAACTGCTAGTTTCACCACCCCCCTCCCCCTTTTTTTTCATAAAAAATACCCCCTTTGGATTTTTTTTTTCAGTTAGGGAAAACAGAAGGAGCCTAGGTGGTATAGTTATACGTGTTGGACTGCTAACTACAAGGTAAGCAGTTCAAACCACAAGCCACTCCTAGGCAGAAAGATGAAGCTCCCTGACCCCTTAAAGACTTACAGATTTCGAAACTCAAAAGGTGGTTCACTATTGATTGCTGTGAGTTATAACTGACTAGATGGCAGTGAGCGTTTTGTTTTGCTTTTTGAGCAAACGCAGATCCTAATATAGGTCATAAAATTGAAGTAGTTTAAAGAGAACTTTGAACAGGCAGGCAAAGTATCTATATTATAAAGTGTGAAAGAAAATTGTAATTCATTCATTCTGAGAAATTACATTCTTCATTTTATGCTATTTAATACTTTCCCTTTTGTTTAATAAACACATACCAAATGCAGTTTTGAACAATGCTGAGTAGGCACGTGTTTTTCCCTAACCTACCCCAATTCTCACAGTGACTGAATTCTGGTAGCTACCTCATAATTTCAGATGATTAAAACCATCAAATTAAAAAAAATAATGTACATTCTAATTAATTTGTAATTCATTTGGGGGTAATGTAAGGTGAGTCGTGTTAGTTGTGAATAGCTCATTTTAATGCACTAAGACATTTTCCTTTGGATTACTTGAAGGGGGAAGAATGACTACAATTAAGAGCCCGCATAACCCACAGTGCACGGCTGACTTGGGTGCCCAGTACATCACCTGCACTCCTTATTATGCCAAAGTACACCAGAGGTGAGTTCATTGAGAGGAATGGAATAGGTCCTACTAGTTGTAGCATGTGAATAGTTAGTTTATCCATTTCCGATATATTTTAATGCTGCTTCTTTTAATACAGTCGCTATATTATCAACATTAATGGTATTAGCAATACATACTTAACCTGAGTAAAATGGTATGCCAGTATGTTTATTTATTTTTTGACTTTAATTATGAAAAACATGGGGAAATAGACCTTTGGCTAATGTCTATGATGCTTAAAAGACTCCTGTTCTTCAACTGACTTGTGAGTTTTATTGAACACAACACATACATTGGGTCCATCATAGAAAGATTGCTGGTTAAGAGTTAAAATTATAACCCCTAAAAATTCTTGGGAAAAAATACAGTATTTTTGAACTCATTATAGTATGCGTTTGCATTATGTATATTTCAATTCATTTCAGTTTTTATGATGAGCTGTTAACTCATGGGGTCCTGACGCCTCTGACTTCTGCTATCAAAGGGATGGTGGTGAAAGATGGAAATGCGAACTTTGTGGCACCCCAAGGAGTTTCTTCAATCGTTAAGCATTACTTACAAGAATCAGGTGAAACTAAGATTTTTTTTCTGCCTTAAAAAAATGGGCATTTAGGGAGGGGGCAGTGGGGAGGGAGGGGGGAAAATGAGGAGCTGATGCCAGGGCCTTAAGTGGAGAACAAATGTTTTGAGAATGATCAGGGCAATGAATGTACAAGTGTGCTAGACAAAATTGATGTACGTATGGATTGTGATGAGTTGTATGAGCCCCTAACAAAATGATTTTAAAAAATGGGCATTTTAAAATAGAAATGCATAGACAATTAAATAACAGCTATCTATCTATATCTACCTATATAGTATGTGCCATCACTTATTTTACTGTTAACTTTCTGAAAAAACATTTTGGTCATTTTGAAGTAGGGAGTTGTTATTTTGCTGTTGATGTTTTTGGTTTTGTTTGCTGTATAGGCGCTGTTGCAATGTCTAACCTTAACATTATTTTGTTGGTATAACTCTAATACTAATCTCTAACAGTGTACATATTTCATCAACTGGTATGTACATTTTAATTTACTAACTTGTATCATATGGTCTTCTTAAAGAATATTCTTCTATAAGTAATGTACCACCTTTTAATGCATGGATATATATATATATTTTGTCTATGTGTCAGTTTAAAAATGGCATCTCTAGGGTTTTAATTTGTATCTCCTAAATTACCAGTAAGTTTATGTATTTTTTATTTGTTTGTTAATTGTTTCTTTGCTTTTCCCCCCTGGGAACATCTTTTTTATAACTCTTGCTTGTTTTCTTTTAGGATTTCCATTTGTTTCTTATATTTTTTTTAATGACTGCTTTAAAAACTAGACCTTTTCTTAAGGAATTAGAACATTTCTTAAATAATAAAAACTGTATTATATAAAAGAGAAGTTCCTCTATTGATGAATCATAATTCAATTAAATATGTGGTATAAAATCACTTAGGAAAGGTTTTAATAAGTGATTTCTAGCATAATTGCTCTTTTAATATTTCTACTTCCTACTTCCAAATGACCTAAATAGTCAGCCTTCCTTGTCAAATATTTCTTACTGAGAATCCCTAGAATCTGTGATACTGGGCATGGGGGTGGTCAATGAGGTTTTACAACATGAAAACATAACAAATAACCACTCTGGGTTAGGCTCCTTTTATTCTCTGGGTGGTGACATTTTGTCAGCATGTGCATTTTAAAAGTCTCTTTTCTTCATGATGTTCCCCGACCAAAGGTAAACAAACCAAAAGCCAACTACCATTGAGTTGAATCTGACTTACAGTGAATTCCCACAGGGCAAAGTAGAGCCTCTCCTTTGCATTTCCAGGACTGTAAATGGATGTGGTAGCAGGCAGCCTTATCTTTCTCTTGTAGTGTCATTGAACTGCCGACCTTGTGATTAGCAGCTCCCTGCTAAGTCCACTGCACCAAGCTAGAAGTGTGTATTTACTGAAATCCTTGAGAACTTACATCCAACCTTTTACTCGCACATTCACAAACATTGTCAATATGCATAAGATTATTATTGATTCATTTAATTTAATTTATTCTTAGTTTAAAAAGACCTATTCATATTTTCCATTTTTATAATGCCTTGGAACAGTGAATCCCATAGCTTTTTAAAAATCACTATGTAAAATGTTAATACTATTTAGTATTATTTATTTCAAAAGTCACTTCAAAAAAAAGAAGAATGCTATGTTCCTGGTAGAAAATTTGGGTAACACAGCAAAATATGAAAGAAAAAGTTATATATAAATCTCTAAATCCATTTTGTGACATATTTTCTTCTTTTCAAAGGTGAATTTTGACATAAATTACATACGGGTCTACATAATTTGAGTCTCTGTAAACTTTTCTTTTGTTTACTTCAACAGTCTCTTTGTAATTCTTCAAGATTTCTATCTTCCCTCTACCCAGATCTCTTATTAGAGGGTGTGGTAGAACCTATCCTTTCCACTATTTGATTTTACAATTATATCCCTTTAAATATTCTTTAGGTCTCAATTTCATCTTATATGAAAATATTTTAGTTTTTCCACAATGCAAGACAAGATAGTCCATGGATTCAGACTTGTCTGAATCTAAATGAATGCTTGGCCACCCCTTCCTAGCTATGCGTTATAAGAAAAAAATTTAAATCTGTACCTATGTTCTTTGATTGACAAAAAGGGCAATAACAATACCTATTACAAAGAGTTATTGTGAGGAATAAATGTAATACTGCAATTATTGTTAAGCCAAGCACACAGTAATCTTTTGTTACATGCTAGCTTCAAATATAGTCTACCTAAATGATGCTAATCTTTGTATGTTCCCAGTCCAGAAGGACTCAAATTAGTAAGTTATTCTAAAAATACTCTTATGTTTTGGAGTTTTGTTGAGTTCTCTTCAACTCAATGTGAGATCAGACGCCTTAGAAATTATCTAAGTGGGCTATGTCTAATCAGGTATACTTTAGGATAGGTCTAAACCAGGGGTCCAAACTACAGCCTGCGGGCCCATGCGGCCCACCAAGGATAGTTATCACCCAGCCTGCTGGGTGTTTTTGCTCATTTTGGTTTGTTACTTTAAAATAAGATATGTGCAGTGTGCACAGGAATTTGTTCATAGTTTTTTTTTTTAGCTATAGTCTGGCCCTACAATGGTCTGAGGGACAGTGAACTGGCCCCCTATTTAAAAAGTTTGAGCCTTTAATCCCAGTATTTAATTATGCCAGTATTCTAGAACAAATAGTAAAGGTCATAGGTAAAAATAGATACTAGATTTTATTATGTATTATTTATTTATTTTCTGATATATTCATATTAACCTTACTGTGGATAAAGCTTCATTCACTGGCATCAGTCTTAACAATTGTCTTTCTTCTTCATCAAATAAAATTATCTCCTTGATGGACTAACAACATTTTATGGGTGTTAGTTTGTTTGTACTGAGGTGGGAGAATCTCAAAATAACAAATACTATTCTATCTTTCACCTATTTAATGTTAACTTTCTTAGAAGCGAGGATCGCAAGACTTTATTTCATGTATTTTGGACATATCATTAAGAAAGGCAAATCGCTAGAAAGGGGCCTTATGGCTGGTGAAGTAGAAAAGATGAGATAGCATGGCCCCATGGCTGCCACAATGGGCAGGGATATAACAATGATTATGGGGATGCAGGACTGAGCAGCATTTCCTTTTGTTGTACATACTGGTCACTAGGAGTCAGAGCCAACTTGACAGCAACTCGTAACAGCATTTACCAGGCACTATCTCATTATGTTAGACACTTTACATACATCACCTTGCATAGTCATATCAACCTTCCAAGGTATTTATCATTGTTCTCATTTTACTAATGTGGAAAATGAGACTCATGGACATTAAGTGCGGTACCTAAGATGGCTTGCCTTAAGACTGGAATTTCCTTAATCCTGCTCTCTCATCTTTTCCTGTGTTCATATATACCCACTGCAGAAGAACCCAAATGAACAACTTATTTTAAAAGTACTCTACATTTTAGAGTCCCATGTAGTTCATAGTAATTTCCCATGAAGGGCAGGGAGAGCCAGTGGACGCTCTGATTTAACATTTGTCTGGAGGGCCTTCATGCTTCTTCCTGATTTGCTTTCGACAGAATAAGAGATTTTTACCATTCCACCCTGGTTCCACATGACACAATTTTTAAAATACCGTTTTCCCTTAGTTTCTCTCAGTCCTTGCTTAGTCCCTTCCCTCAAGGATGGAGAGGATTATTAAAGACTACTGTTGTTAGGTCCCGTCCAGTCGGCTCCAACTCAAAGCAACTCCACTTAGAACAAAACATTGCTCAGCCCTGCGCCATCCTCAGTAAAATCGGTATGTTTGAATTCATTGTTGTAGCCACGTTCCAGGCCGTCTCAGTGAGGGTCTTCGTTTTCCTCAGCCGATTACTTTACCAAGCGTATTCTTCTTCTCCAAGGACTGGCCCCTTCTGATCACGTGTTCAGAATAAGTGAGACAATGTCCTGCCATCCTTATTTCCAAGGAGCCTTCTGGCTGTCCTTCTCCAAGATAGAGAGATTTGTTCACCCTTACAGCAATGTGGATAGTATAGTCAATATTTTTCACCAACAGTATAATACAAATGTGTCCATTCTTCTTCGAGACACCATCTTGTTCCTGTATGCAATATAGAAGATGATGGTTCTGGCCCATGACATTTTAGTATGATGGACCAATTTCTTTTTCTTCTTAATAAGGCTCCTCCTTGTCATTAAATCATTCATGACAATGGATTCTGTTTCCAGTAAATGGGGCACATTTTTATTTGACTTGGACTGCTAACAGGGAAGACTATTGCATTTGCTTTTGTTCTATCATCTACTTTAAAAAGAGCAATGGTTAGCAATCTGAAAAGTCAATGTGTACAATATAATTTGTCAAAGTTACATAATATATTTCTTATGAAAGGTAGTTTAAGTTGTAGAGGATGCTGATCTGGTCACATCTGTGAGGTAATATTTACTTTCATTATTCTCTTTCTCTTCATTTTTGTGCTTACTTTCATTCTAAATTTGATGTATAGGAAGGGTGTATCAAAATGTGCCCCAGGTGGGTGATCACAGCCCTCATCCATAACATTGTTCTTCAGAGAACAACTGGAGGATAGCATGTGATCAAGCATTTCCCTGTTTATTTTACTCTTTGAAATGAATGAAGATAGTGGAGAAATTTAATAAATATATAGCAAATGCATTTGCCTTTGTAAAAGGTGTTAAAATTCTCAAACCTATTCATTTCTTTGTATCCTCAGATTTCACTTTTTGCTCACTAATTATGTGCAAATACACAATAGTAAATATGAGGCATGATCCCTCCCTTTGTGTATTCTTTAAGCTGCAGTGTATATATGTATAGATTATATGTGTGCATATGTATATGTATGTATATATATAGTATATATTCATGTATAAGCACATTTTTATGCAGTTTTTGTGGTAATATTAGGTGCCTCGGCTGATATTTGGGTAGGCTTATATAATATATATGCACACATACATGATTATATATGATATATGTGATATTTATACACGATATATATTATATTTATTACTTTCAGTTTCTGACTCAAAACTCATTTTCTTAAACCAATATTGATTAAGTTCCTACTATGTGTCAAGTGCCGTGCTATATATGTTATGTACTACACATACACACACAATTCCTGACTCATGGACTTACAGATTAAAAGGTGAGATGGTATTGAACACTACTATCTAACATTACTAAAGTACTGCGTGGTGGTGGTGTAGTGTGTTGCCCATTGGGTTGCCAACCACAATACTTTCTACTCCCATAAAGAGTTTTAGTCTTAGAACCCACAGGGCCTGTTCTATTCTGTCCTATACAATAACAGTCAAACTTGAATCGATGGCAGGGAGTTTAGTTTTTGAATGTTGAATGCCAAGCTTTTAAGTCAAATTATTATTAAAATACCTCTGTGAAGAAAGAAAATGACAAGTACTTACTGTCGATGGTGATTTTATGAATTAATGAGAATTTGTATGCCCCTTAAAGAAGAATATTTCTCTCAGCTAAATTGCTCATGAAAGCAGCAAAGAATGCTATCATTTTCCAGAAATTGATATCTCTCCTGATAACATATCTGAAGTACATGAGAAATCTTACCATCCTCCATTCTAAGGAGCATCCTGGCTGTACTTCTTCCGAGATATATTTGTTTGTTCTTCTGGCAGTCCATGGCTCACCGTCACTATAATTCAAATATATCAGTTTGTACTCCTTCCTTATTCACCTTTCACATGCATATGGGGGTGGGGGGGCGTTGAAAATCATGGCTTGGGTCAGGTACACCATGGTACTCAAAGTGAGAGCCTTGCTCTTCAATACTTTAAAGAAGGCTTGTGCAGCGTATTTTCCCAAATGCAATGTGTTGTTTGATCTCTTTGCTGCTTCCTAAGTATTGACTGTGGATACAGAAAAATGAAATCCTTGACCCTATTGATCTTTTCCCCATTTATCGTAATTGTATTTATTGATTCACTTGCGAATATTCTGGTTTTATTTACATTGAGTTATAATCCATACTGAAGACTGCAGCTCCTGATCTTTAGCAGCACGTGCTTCAAGTCTTTCTCCCTTTCAGCAAACGAGATTGTGTCTTCTGCATAATATAGGTTGTTGATAAGCCTTCCTCCAATCCTAATGCCTCTTACTTCTTCATATAGTCCAGCTTTCTGATTATTTGCTCAGTGTACACATTGAATAACTATTGTGAAAGGATACAGCCTCGACACACACCTTTCTGGATTCTAAACCATGCAGTGTCCTCCTTTTCCGTTTGTATGGCTGCCTCAGTCACGAGGACAATGAAGTGCTGCGGAATTGCCATTCTTCTCAATGTTACACACAGTTGGTTATGGTCCACACAGTGAATGCTTTTGAATAGTCAAGGAAACACAAGTAAACATCCTTCTGGTATGCTCTGCTTTCAGCCAAGATCCATCTAAGATCAGCAATTATATATATAATTTCCTGTACTCTTCTGAATTTGGCTTGAATTTTGGGAGCTCCTGTTTGGTACAATTACAACCATTGTTGAACAATCTCCACTAAACCTTTAATTGCATATGATATTGCTTCTAAGTTCCTAATTTTGTTGGATCATCTTTCTTTGGAACGGGCACAAATATGGATCTCTTACAGTCAGTTGGCCAAGTAGCCGTGTTCTGAATTTCTTGACATAGATGATTGCGTGCTTCTATTGCTTCATCAACTTGTTGAAACATTTCAACTGGTATGCCATCAATTCTTGGAGCGGTGCTTTTCACTAACGCCTTACCTGTAAAAAATTGTTGGTCTATTTCAATGTCCAACACATAGGTCCCTGACCTCAATTTGGTTGATGATATTGAGCTTCTTTTTGACTTCTCACAGATATAGTTGATTTGACTCCTATGTACAGTTACTATTTATGTTGTGGATATATGTATTTGCATCGAAGTAGTCATTGGTCTTAAAAAAAAAATTCTAACCTGTGATCTCCAGCTTCATTCCTTTCACCAAGGACATAGTTTCCAAATGCTTTCTTTTTTTTCTTTGTTTTCAATGTTTGCATTTCAATTGCCAATAATTATCAAGGCATCTTGACTGCCTGTTTGATCAATTTCAGACTGGAGGAATTGACAGACTTTTCAATTTCTTCATCATTAGCTTTAGTGTTTGACTCGTGAACTTAAAGTTGTATTAGCTGGACTTCCTTGTAGACATATAGATATTCTACCACAGACAACATTGTATTTCCGGCTAGATCTTGTCATGTTCTTCTTGTTAATGAATGAGATGCCATTTCTCTTAAATTTGTCATTCCTGGCATAATAAATCATCTATTGATTCAAAATGGCATATACCAGTTCATTTAACTCACTAATGTCTAAGCTATCAAACTTTATGCAAGACATTTCATTTTTGAGGACTTCCAGGTTTCCTAGATTTATGCTTTGTACATTCCACATTACTATTATTAATGGATGTGGGCAGCTATTTCTTCTCAATTTTAGTAGTGCCCCATGTGCAAATGAAGGTGCCCAAAGCGTTTCTCTGTCCCTGTCACTAAGGTTGACTCTACTTTGAGGAGACAGCTCTTCCTCAGCCCTCATTTTGAGTCCCTCCCAACTTGAGGCGATCTTCTCCTGGCACTTCATCTGAAAATGTTTGGCTGTTATTCATAGTGTTTTCAGGAGCCAATCCCTCAAAAGTGAATATCCAAGCTTTCTTTGTAGTCTGTTACCTAATGTTAAACATTGGCTGTAATCTTCAGGGTGCATAGTTCAAAACCATGAGCCACTCCTTGGGAGAAAGATGTGGCTTTGTACTCCCATAAATAGTTACAGTCACAGAAATTCAGAGGGCCATACCCTATCCTACACTCTCCTATAGGGTCGCTACCAGTCAGCATTGACTTGATGGCAGTAACTTTTACATTTGAATGCCAGCAGGTATATTTTAAATTTACCTGCTGGTATTTAAAATACTGGTGCTGTTGCTTTCAGCATCACAGTATCACACAAGCTACCACAGTGCAACAAAGTAGCAGACAAGTGTTGGTGAAATTAGTTGGTATAATAAGTGAAATGATCCGCTTAGTGCTTGAAATATAGTAGGTGCTTAGTGACATATAGCAGCTTATTATTATTAATTGCAGTAGTAGTACTTTTTATAGGTATTGGTGGTTGGACAAATGTATCAGTGGGGAAAGAATTTTCACTAAATGTCAAAGGAATTAAATGAAAGCATACCCGGCGGATATAGCATATAAGCTACTATTTGTTCACCTTGATTTATCCAGTGTGTGATTATGCATTTTTGTTATTGATATGGAAAAGTCTGACAATGTAAACATGATTTTGTTTGGGAGCAGGTGCAGAAGTCTACTTCAAACACTGTGTAACCCAGATCAACCTAAGAAATGAAAAGTGGGCGGTCTCCAGGGAAACAGGCTCCCCTGAGCTGTTTGATCTTGTTGTCCTGACTATGCCAGCTCCTCAGATTCTGCAGCTTCAAGGTGACATCCAGAACGGTGAGTCTCTCTTCCACCATCCGCTTCCCTTGAGCATGGGAATTCCGTGTTAGGGTGTGCATTTCGTTTAACCTTCCTAGCAAAAGAAACATGGGTTCTATGGATTTGCACTTTTTAAAAACGATTCACTTGTATCTCACTCAGATCATTATACTAGTCTAGACCAAACTGAAACATATCTATCTACACACACACACACACACACACACACACATAATTTTTACCTGTTAAAATATTTTTATTATTATCTTTGCCCTCAAAAAGGTCAGTAATCTTGTTGGATATGCAGTTATTGGCCTAAATGAACAATAACCTCTTTGTGACCATCGTGGAAATAAGAATTTTTAAATATACATTGTTACTTAGGTTGGTCTGTTTTGGCATATTTTCTCCCTGGGCTGCTCTCTAGGAACTAGTTCTAAGCAGTTGTCCACCTCTCTTGTGAAAGCGAAGCTTAAGAGAAGTAGTTGGGACTACGGAGGGAGGGTGGAGGGAATGGAAGTCGGGGGAGAATGAGAACCACATCTATGGAGGGTTTAACAGGATATTGTTGACGATTTCATTTTGTGAGATGGGCTGTGTCAATATATACAAATATAGGTTTTTTTTATTCCCTCCAGATTCCTTCACTCTCAAACCTACATAGGGGTCTGAGTGACTATAAATAAGGAAAAATAATACTGACATGGACTTTGAGTTTTTAGTGATAAACAACTTCATCTCACCACCCCACCACCACCAGAAAGAGAGGATTTGGGATTGGCAGGGGGAGTAAATTATGCTGAGGAAGCTGCAATTTTCATGCTAAATGAGCTAAAATTATGATCATGACATTAAAATTCCAAATAATTTTTTCTGTCTGAATAAAGACAAAAGAAAAAGGAAAGGAAATTTATTTTCTTGTTAAAAGTAACAAAGGTACCTTTTTAGGTGTTACTGATAAAAATTCTTGCATAGAATGCCATGTCATGTGTTTAGCAAGTCAGATCTTATAATGACTAAATTAATTTTCATATGGGGAGTAGTTATTAGACTATTGTCTAATAGTCTTTCAAAGTACACATTATGTATCTATTTAGGATGCATGACCATTGCTTCCTAGGGAGTATTGATTTGATGTTTGCAGGTTTGTTGGATTGAACTTTTGGCCATGACCAAAGTGAAAGAAAAGGGGATAAAGTTGTTGAAAGAAAAGGGATAAAACTAGTATCAAATGGCCTGGCACCCTTTGCTGTCTACCTCCCAAAAGATCAATCTCCGTTTCACTGAATCCTGAAAGGACCTGATATGACTGACATAAGATTTTACTGATTACATCAACCTTTTCAGAAATGCGTTTATTTGGAGCTGGTGAAATTATTATTATATATGGTGATATTAGTTATTTTACAACCAAATTTTGTAATGCTGTCCATAGACCCTGTGAACTCTCATTGTTTACATCATAATCAAGTATTAGGGACTAGAAATCCAAGCCCCACTAAACTTGCTAGTCATCAAGTCAGTTCTGACTCATAGAGGTCCGCTAGTCCGGGGAAGAACCGCCTTTGTGGATTTCTGAGACTGACTGTTCTTTGCAGAAGCAGAAAGCCTCATCTTTCTCACAGAGTAACTGGTGGTTTCGAACTTCTGACCTGTAGCTAGCTCTCCAATGCGTAACCTTCTACACAAGCTCAAGAACTCAACTCAGGGAATACAAGGGGCTTCAAAATGTCATGGAAAATGGAATTAAAAGATAATGGGAATTTCCAATGAACTTTTCAAAGTATGCTCATATTTCCAAGAACCAAAGAAAGTTATTAAGTACAATTAATATGCTAATTATAATTAGTAAATTAAAGTACAGTATTCCTACAAGTTGCTCTTCAACTCATATGGTGTATCCACATATTCTATATATGCTTTATGTGTGTATGTAGTTAATGTGTTTCAAAAAATGTTCTAAAATGGGGTTGATTTATTTGATTATACTTTGTTTTATGAATCTCTATGTAATAGAAACAAAATAATATTTTTAAAATATGTTCAATGTGAAATATGGATTTTTGTTGGTCAAAAGTGGTCAAATATGCATGATTTTATGTGGTTCAACCTAGACAGATAAAAATAGAAGTAAGGATAAATTAATGAATACCTTTAGTAACTAGTGATGTAGATCTGAAGAATTTTTAAGATCTTAAAGACTGCTTTGACATGTACTTCTCATTTGGTATGTTGTTTCTAATTATAGAACTATTCAAAAATTTCCATGTGGTATTGGCAACCTTTTATTATCACAATCTTTTGTTTTCATCTTTTGAGCTGTTATTTTTACTCTTCCTACATCTTTCGATTTTATAATTGGCTCAGTATTATTCACTGTGCCTTTAAAGAGTAACCTTTGTGCTTGCACTCAGAAACCCATTCGGGCTAACTTAAGCATGAGGCGATGTCCAGAATTCACTTAAATGAAAGCCCACCCCTCCTGTGCACTTTTGTCTAAATAATTAGGCTTGAAAATGGGTAGCTACTAAGCCAGCAGCAGGTGATTTAGGATGAACCATAGGAAAAATACTAGCAATGAATAGTCTGGTGGTGAGTACACTAATCGGATAAACTCCATAAATGCCATTGTTTCTCTCCCCATTATGAAAATTTCAGGAAGGGAGCATTTTACTGACCTGCTTGAGGTTCCATTTCCACCTTGTGCCCAAAGGGATCAGGGAGTTCTTGACCATAAATGCATGGGATGTAATACTCCAACATAGAGCGTTAGAAAAGAAGATGCATGCCAAATAACCAAAAGCATCTTTTTGGTGTAGGTATTCTTTAATATTTGTAAAATGAGTAAAATATTGGCTGACTAATGGGATGAATATCTGTATTTCTTAAAGAACCTAAGACCTATTTAAGTTTCATTGGAATAGATTGCACCTTTTCATCCCCTATGTGAAATTCATAATTTACAAAACATCCCATGATAGACATATTTTCTTTTTCCTGCTATATACATATAGATAAAGAAGGAAAAAGAAACTCTATATTGACAATGGCCTTATTTCTTTAAAACATAGATATACATCAATGCATTCAGTTGTACTGTAAATTTCAGTTTCTAAGAGCTGTACAATTTGGTAGGTCAAGAAAGTTGTTTGATTGTTGTATTTTAAAATGTATTTCTAATATTTGTAATCTGTATATGTAAAAACAAACAAACAAACAAACAAACACCACCATGGAGAAGACTGGTTTCTAAGAGTCAGTTTAGAATTTAAGAGTCTTGCTTATTGGCCTGCTAATTAATCTTCCTAAGTATATCGTCTTACTTTTTAAAATCATTTTATTAGGGGCTCATACAACTCTTATCATAATCCATACATACGTCAATTGTGTAAAGCACATTTGTACATTCATTGCCCTCATCATTCTCAAAACATTTGCTCTCCAGTAAGCCCCTGGCATCACCTCCTCATTTTCCCCTCCCTCCCCACTCCCCCCTCCCTCATGAATCCTTCATAATTTATAAATAATTATTTTGTCATATCTTGCACTGTTCAATGTCTCCCTTCACCATCTTTTCTGTTGTCCATCCCCCAGGGAGGAGGTTATATGTAGATCCTTGTAATTGGTTCCCCTTTTCCACCCCACTCTCCCTTCACCCTCCCGGTATCACCACTCTCACCACTGGTCCTGAAGGGATCATCTGCCCTGAATTCCCTGTGTTTCCAGTTCTTATCTGTACTAGTGTACATCCTCTGGTCTAGCCAGATTTGTAAGGTAGAATTGGGATCATGATAGTGGGTGGGGAGGAAGCATTTAGGACCTAAGGGAAAGTTGTATGTTCCATCATTGCTACACTGCACCCTGACTGGCTCGTCTCCTCCTCTCTACCCTTCCATTAGGGAATGTAAGTTGCCTACAGATGGGCTTTGGGTCTCCACCCCACACTCCCCCTCATTCACAAAGATGATTTTTTGTTCTGATGATGCCTGATACCTGATCACTTCAACACCTTGTGATCCCACTGGCTGGTGTGCTTCTTCCATGTGGGCTTTGTTGCTTCTGAGCTAGATGGCCGCTTGTTTACCTTCAAGCCTTTAAGACCCCAGACGCTATATCTTTTGATAGCCGGGCACCATTAGCTTTCTTTGCCACATTTGTTTATGAACCCATTTGTCTTCAGCGATCGTTATCAGGGAGGTGAGCATAAATGCCCTTTACCTCCTAGCTCTTTCCTCTATTTCCTTGTACTTTCCTCTTGTCCCACTATCATGCTCAGCCTTCATTTAAGTTATAGTAATTCCTCTTGGTGACATTACCCTTGGTCATGCCCTACCAGGCCTCCCACACCCTCCTTACCACCGATTTGGGTCACTGTTTTTCCCTTGTCCCTGGGTTTGTTAACACCACTACCTTCCCCACACCCACCTCCCCCTCTCCCATGACCCCCCCCCCCAACTGTTGGTCCCATTGTTTTCTCCTCCAGAGTGTTCATCCAGCCTATCTTATTTAGACAGACCTGTGGAGATAAGTAGATCTTCTAAGTCCACCCCCCGCCACCTTTCATGTGAAGGCTTACTGAGATCTGTTTTCCATTTGACGAGTCAGACACATTTTGTTTCATTTCACTGATTGCAATTTCCTCACTGTAACATTGCTTATAACTTTTCTTTGAACATTGTTCAACTGAGAGCTATAACAAAATTCTCCTGACATTACTGAATTTCTTTCTCTCATTTCTGTCTTTTGGGAGAAGTTTTTTAAATTTACATTTTTAAAAAATATGATGGTATTTGATTCCTAGTATATCTCCATTAAAGTTAAAAACTTTGACCTAAAAAGTTCTCTTCTTAGTCACATTTTAGTTTTATTTTGCTTTCAAAGCAGCCTTGACTGATAAATGAGATACTTTCCCACTTTCCCCCTCTCTATCACTCTATTAGCTTGCAGTTGATTTTACAAAAGCGTATTATGTAGAAATGCAGTACCTTTATTTTACTAATTTATTTAGAAATTATTTG